ATTGAACCGTATTTCTGAGAGAGCTGACTAAATGCTCATTGAACCTTAAGGCCATGCCCATCTGTCTCCAACCCCCAGCTGCAATCTCCTGACAGCTCCATGCCGTTCCCTGTCGCTGTCACACGCAGCAGAGCTCAGCGCTGCCCCTCCGCTCCCTGCGAGGAGCTGCAGCTGCCATCAGGCCTCCCCTCAGCTCCTCTGCTCTGGGCTGAACCAACCAAGGAACCCAGCTGCTCCTCTTACCTCACGCCCTCTATGGCGTTCACCATCATCATAGCCCTTTTTTGGAAACTCTCCTTATGTTTCACGTCTTTCTTATTTTTTAGCTGCTTTGTTTTTCTCCCCCCTGTTTAAGGCATCAGAATGGTACGTTTAAAATGAAAAAATGTAAAAGCTGAGATGGTATCTTTTTTCTGATTAACAGCTTAAGAATTCAGCTGATTAAAGGCAAACTGGGATGAAAAATATAAGAACCAATGAAGATAGAGTGAAGACAGAATGACTTTCATACCCAGTGCAGTTCAAAAACAACTGTACTGTGATTATGCAAATCAGCCACTCACGAAAATGCAGAGATTTACATAACGGAGAACAAAATTCTTCACAGTTATGCCTCAGTAACCTTACAGGATTCTTGCACTTTAATTGTGTGACTCACTGTAAGAAAATGATTCCACTCTCTTTATTCAGAGTGAAATATACGTTAGGAAATCACCATTTTGTATGATTTGTGTGTTTTTGGAAGCCTACCCTCTCCTGCCACAAAATGTGATGTATGTGCTTCTTTAAAGAGAAAGAAATAAATGCAAAGCTAGGATTTCTGCTTGTATCAATCAAAAATTTAACTGGGTTTACATATTGCATCACTGTTCTTGTATCAAATGTATATTGATACAAATGGTCCCTTCCTTCTACTTGGAACTTCTATTTCCTCATTTCATTAAATTCAACATTTTTTGATAAAATAACTCTTTGCTGGTGCTTATATCAGGGAGGAAACATCAGTGTCATTTAAACTGCATAGACTCTATAGTGTCTATGTTTTGTAGATAAAAATCTTAAAAGGAATCATATTTTTAGTTAGATAAATATGTCTAGCCTACTTAATTTGTGACATTTATGTGCTCTATAAAACATTATTTTTGAAAGATGACTGTCCTATTACAAGCCACATGGAAGGGGCAGTTATTTATTCAGCTGGGTATACTTTGTTGTACCTTTATTTTTGTCATCACCGTTATTGGATTGTTTTGTTGTTGTTGGTTTTTTTTTTTGTGTGTGTGTATAGAAACATGACTTGACATTACAGAATTTCCTTGGAAATCCAGAAAGAGAAGACTATAAATTAGACCCTACTACAGCCGGGCTTTTCATGGCTGTAGGTTGATTGCAGGTGAGCTTTCTCACAATATGGCTACATTATATCTTGCAACATTAGACATCCATTAAATCGTGATGGCTTATTTTTCATCTTTAAACATCTTAGGCAAAGGCTAAAACTAGAACTAAAACATGTAATTATTTCTTTCTTGCATACTGACAAAAAAGAAGTGGAAAAACGTCCTCTCAAGATAACCAGCAAGCTTTGAAAGACTCCCTTGTCAAGTAGGGATGAACACAAAACCTTTGGAAGATTTTAATGAGAAACTATAGGAGATAAAAAACAAGCTGGTCCATACTTGTCTCCCATTGGCAAATATAAGAGAATTGCTGACCATCGCACTTCTCTACTAAGTCTCAGACTCAATTTCAGGTATCCAGTCTGAATCTACCAGAAAAAATACTGCTCCAAAGTCTTCCACATGCCAGGAGTGTTCTTAGACCCAAGTATCCACACTATACCAAAAAGGCTGGTACACCGTTTTTCTACTTCTTTTCTCTCTCACATGGCAAAAAATTGACAGAAAGACCCTCCAAAAATGAACTTGTTGGAATGAATTTATTTTCTGCTCTGAGAGATTCTAAAAAAATTTTGCAACCAGCTGGAAGAAGGAAGGTCTGATCATTTTTCTACCAAAATGAATTCTTCAGCTTTGTAACTGGCTAACAGCACCTCACTGAAAACTTCCTACTGACATAAAAAGAAAAAAATGGTAAGGAAATGTTATAATTTTCCGATAGGAAATTGAAGCGTCCTCTTCTCCCACAGATCCAAGAGCTGCTTGTATCATCATGAAAATAATGCCTCCTATTTTATTATGTTTGCCCACGATATCAGAAGTGAATGATGGTATGGCAGTAGAGGCTGAACTTTCCTGCCACTACTCTGTTACGTGTTGTTGCCGTGTGACAGATGGCAGCAAAGGGGCAGTCTGACAGTATGGCATCTGACATGGAAGTGCACATGAAGCAAAAGTGTGGCCCAGTTCTTCCACGTAAAAAAAAAAGGCACCCACTCACAGTCCTTGACACTTGCTGAACATTTGTGGAGACTGAAGAGTGGATATGAGCACAGTGAAGCAGTAGATGTTGCGTTTCAGCACTGGCAACAGTGACAGTGGGTCATCTCCAGTGGTAAAGATTTTTATGACCATGGCATGCAAGTTCTTGTTCATTGCTGGGTAATATGCAGAGCTAATGGTGGTGACTATGTTGAGAAGTAGTGTTTTATAGCTGAGAATGTGCTCTATCAAATAGTGTTATAGTGCTTTTTGCATCTGTGGTAATTCCCACGGAAATAAACAGAAAGCATTACTTTCGGAGTGACCTACTTACATTAAAAGTTGCACAGACAGCCATGACCATATTTATTCCTTGAATTATTCGTTTAAACAAAAACTATGTTTAAAATAAAAAAGGTTTTTTTTTTTTTTTTTTTTTTGTCTTTGAGGAATTAAAAGTAATAATCTCAAAACCAGAAGACATTAGTACCAAAAGCAGTGCAGGGTAACTGCTGAAGCAACATTATTACTGAAGGAAAAAGGAAGAAGCACAAAAACTAAGAGACAATAGGAGATACTTCGATAGTCTTAAGTTTGAAAGACTTTGTGCTTGTGTTTCAAGACTTGGTGAAAACTTTAAGACACTGTTCTGTCAAAAAAATGAGTTTCTTACAGCTAGGTGGGGAAAACTAATAAGAGAAGTTATTACAATTACAAGTGATCAAGCTAGTCATTTACCACTATCTGGAAGAATGATCGAACAAAGGCAGCTATTTTGGATTAATTCTTCTCAGCTATGGTAGGATTACCAACAACCTCCATAGCTCTCTAAAGAAGCAGATTCCCTTTTAGTTTAACGTTACATTCAGAGTACTTCTCCATATTAGGAAAAGAAAGATGCAACACGTTCTGTTTGCACTCTTAGCAGAAGGCACCATATTTTATAATTGCTAAAATGTATTTCATCATACAGTTGTCTTATGGCATAGTACACTTTCTTCTGAAAATAATTCAGTCACATGAAAGCAAGTTATTTCTTTGCATAAAAAAAGAAAAGAAGATTTCTTTGGAAAGATTCTCAAAATGAGTTTCCATTTGTTTTCATTGTTATTTTAAAAAAGAAGGTAGCAGTGCATTCAGAATTCCTTTATTTTCCTAGCACATTTCCAGTTGTCCATATACTGGGATCAAAGCTTACAAAATAAAATAATAGTTGCATAGAAGTGTAATTCACCTTGTTTATATAGAATGGGAAGCTGCAAATTAAAAGAATATGGCTCAAATGCTGACCATTTCTCCCTCAGTGTCTCATTTTTTTTTTCTTTTTTAATTCTAGCAGTTTTGTTTCTCCCATGATATCTTCGAGCAGTTTCATTTCAGTATGGTCTGCACTGGATTGTGCGGATTACCAAACTAATGACATATGGACTTCTTACCACTATAACACATCTACTCCTGCAAGTGAGAATTTTGAGCGATAGAGCAAAGCTGTTTGTTATCAATTCTGCAAAAACTGCATCTGCCAGATTGCCAAGACCCATCTCAGAGATTAAAAAAATAAAAAAGATTAATATTCCAATTTGTTTCCCATCTTTATCATTCATGCAGCATTTCCGTACACAAATGGTAATGTTCTAAAAATGAAAAATACTTGAAAATATTTTGCATTTACATTACTCTGAAGTTAAAATTATTAGAGATTCAATTTCTCTGTATTGCCTGCTATGGAAACACAGACACACATAAAGTTTAACCTCCATTTATAGAAAAGTGCCAACATTATCTGCTTGTATGATTTGGTTAAAAAAAGAAATTCTAACTTACATAAAATGATATGGAAAGTGCTGAGTTAGTTGCACATTTAACGCACATTAATGTGTGTACTAAAATATACCACACAGGTTCAAGCAGACTAATTATCATGAACAGCAGAAAGCTAATAAATATATAAACCAATGACTCAACTCTGAATCAACAATTTCTAGCAAAGACCGAAAGAACACTAATGACTTGAAACCTATTGACTTGATGGAAATATGAATTGGTACTTCTAAAATATCCAGCATAGGTCTAAGAACTCCTGCCAACAAAGTTCAATGACAGATCTCAAAGAATGACATTTTCATAGAGCTATCTCCTTGTTGGAAAGCCATTCTTTTCCCCTCCATTTCTAAATTTTCTAATCTCCAAAGGTACGCAGTACCTTTATTTTTACAAGACTTAAGAAGTAGGGTTGAATTTGGCTTTCAGGTGGTATGCATACACCATTTGGAATAAACACAAAACCATAAGTGTTACTGGTAGGAAATACTTTGCTCCTTGGCCCCATTACCACTGTGAAGTCCTCTGGCCTGTCCAGTTTCAATGACCCAGCAGTAATTTATCAGTAAAAGTTGCAAAGATGATCTGATATATCAAGAATAGTCTGAAATCCCATACGAGTTTGTCTCAGTATTTTCCACTACAATTAATTCTGAGGAGCTCGCTAAACTGAATTTATCTTCTGATTATTTTAGCTTGACTTGAAAACATGTAGTACATTCTCTAAATAAACATCAGGACATTTCTGTTAAACCTAATCTGCCAGCAGAAGCTTTTAATCAGTCAAGTTTTACTCACATGGAATTTTGTTCAGTTCATTCATGAACTTCTCTTTTAACTTAGAAAATGCATCTTCTTTTCCTCCCCCTCCTCCAGGAGCGGCTGGCTCGGTGACATTGCTTGGAGGAACTGCTGCTACTGTGGTCGCTGGCGGGGCTGCCAGGGCCTCATGATGACTTTCACTCACCATTGTAACCCCTGTGGAAGCTGCTGTTGGAAAAACAACATAAAAAACAACAAACAAAGAACATGTTTACATCATGAAAACAAGAGCAACAGCAAACTGAGAACATGTTTACATTATGAAAAAGGATCTCATATCAATCAAAGACAAAATAGGCAGGATATCGCTTGGTGCTCATGCTTACTGAGTAAATATGACCGTGTCAACGCACTGCTTCGTGTTCTTCATACAGTATTTATTAGAACAGAGAGAAAAGTCTCTTGCAGGGTTAATTTCAGCCAGAATCGTTTTAGTGCTTAGTGTTCCTCTTCAATCACATTGAATTCTGAACTGCTGAAATTGAAAACTCAGAATTCTTATAAAACTCACACAGATTTACCTTTTGCTCTTCAATTCTGAAAGTAAAGGCACAAAGGGTAATTAGTGCTCCCTCTGTGCAGATTTCACAATGATTTACAGAATTACTTACCTAGGAGAGTTACAGAAGTGCAAATTACAGCCAGAGTTTCAATATCAAACAAATGAAGTGATAAGGATGTAGTAAAAACACTTCATACCTCCCTGCCAAAGTAATATGCTATTGTTTTATACTTAAGCAAGTTGTATATTAAACAAGAATTGATTTGCATCCATTTTTATCTTTATTTATTGAAGGCAATTTTCCTTCCAGTTACTATGTGTGACATTTGCTACTGACAATATTCTGTTAAATTATTCACATGTCTCATTGGCGTATTTATGAAGCTATGACATCTGTGGGGTATCTAAATGCAGCCATAGTGAAGAATCTGAAAGGCTGTCACAAGCACGACACATTGCCATATTTTTCATTTAATGGGCATTTTGCAAAACCTCTGCTTGAGCTTATGGTATGAAGCAAAGAATTTGGGGCCAGTGGGGTGAAGGTGATTACACAGTGCAACTTAAGTACTATCAGAAGATTGGCTGAAATGTTTACATTGGATTGAACACATTGTTCTGAATTTCTGCTGCTTCCTAAATAGCACTAATCTGACTAATCATGCTTTGTTATTCTTCAGAAAACCAGAGGGAGAAAGAGTTTGAAAGATAACAAACACTCATTATTGCTCTGAGTGCACAATTGCTCTCAGTCCCAAAAGAAACTTGGCCTTGGACCTTCTGCTGAGAAATTCAAACATCATGCAGAAAAGGCAACACATCAAAATTAAAGGGGCATAGGAGCATCTGACTGCATGCAACATGATAGACTGTGAACTTTCCTGCCCTACGTCACCACTTTCATAGACGCTGCTAAGTGTAACACTATAATATGATGGAAAGAGCAGAAATAACAGTGGGGTAGCAAAATCCTACACTGCAGCAAGTGAGGATATGCCTAAATGCAGCAGCTGTAGACGCTGAAACAAAGAATCTGCTTCTCCTGGGAAGGCCTCAACTAGGCAAGCATCTCCAGTAGGATATCCTTGCCTCCACTGCCAACCCTTAAATGAGGTCTGGGAAGGAGCGGATCTTGGCTCCACTCTCTCCAGACACTGAGGTGCAGTGTGTACATCAGAGCTCCCCTGGTTGACCCTGCCTTCCCGTCAGGTTCTCAGTCACTGTTTCAAGCCATGACTTAGCATTTCTGATATGTTGAAAGCGCTCAAATCACTAGATCCAAATGAGGATTGGCTTTTTGTCCTTCAGCTTTTCTTGTGTAAGCCCTCAGTTAGGAAGATTCAGTGTGTGCCCAACTGCAGGCCGACAAACCTGTGGAAATCACCTGTCATTACACAGGGGTCTGCACATAAGTGTATTCTGGAACAGAAATCATCCTTCAACACACCATCTGAGTAAAAAGGTGTTTACTAAATAGAGGATTGGCCTTGTTCTGAAGAAGCAATTTGATGGATATTTTGCAGCAATTTTATTGAGGCAGCGCTGAATGAAGCAGTATTCCCTGCCTGCCCATTGCTTCTGCCTTTGTCCTCACAGTCTCTAGCCTAATATAAAATCATGTTGATGTTGACAAAGTACGTGTATGTGAGATAGCTACATAAATATTTCATACACATGCGGTCTTATCTATTTGCCTGTAACAACATGGAAGCAGTTTGCTATCTAAAGCAGACCAAAGCTGATGGAAAGATTCCAGTTAATATCCATGAACTTTGGCTCAAGCTTGATGTCTGTGAAGATTTCCCCCCTTGCCTCTCACAATAACTATTGAGAAAAACATGTAGTGCATAATTTGTGTAGTACAGAATTACGTGCCAGCTCTTTCAGGCTAGGAGACTTTTTCCATATGCTCTGATGAATGCCAAATACTATGAAGCAAAACACGCAGAGCCATCAGCTGTAAACATTAATGCTGTTTTATATTATAGCATTTTGTCAGTGAATGTCAGTTACATCAGAAGAAAAGTTGTATGATATATCATAATTAAATCAAAATTAAATTGCTTAATTATAATATATTGGTTAATTATTTCAGGCCTGGCAGTCGACTATTTTATTTTATAACGGAAGACACAATTTGCAGTGATGACTTTCAGCTAATTAAAAATTAAGGCAAATGTAATTTATTTGCTTCTAGTTTTGGAGCTGTATTTTGAAAATATATAAAAAGAATAAATTTGAAGTGCTACATTTATTAAAAAAAAAAAAGGAAAAAGTAACAAACTACTGTATTTTTCTGATCTCCAGGAACAATCCTCAGCAGAGCCCTAGTGCAGATAGAGGTTACTACATCTAATGAGGCATGCACAAATGCTTTGAGACTTGCTACAGAGCCTTTGACCTTTACACGCCAATGACACTGTCCTGATATTTTAAATAGGTGTGAAGAGGCTGAAGAAGCATCTCCTCCCTGAAAAAGCTGTCTGCAGGAAAGAATTTTCTGAAGAGCACATGCTCACACCCTCACAGAGATAACATCTGATAGCTTCTATTATTGTAATGCTGCAGCTTCCCACCATAATGGTATAAACAGTCATATTATTAGAGACTGCAGAGTACTGGATAATTAGATTTAAATTGGCCTTTTACAAGAAAAAAAAAGAGGTTACTTTAGTGCTGCAGTGCATTGCTAAAGGTAAAGATCTACAAAAGATGAGCAGATTATCTGCCATTTACGAAATGGCAGTTGCAAGCAAAAATTTCTTATAGGTTAAAAAATGGAAAGTCATAGAATTCAATTATGCTTCTAGTGTGGTGTTCACTACTGTGATGATACTGCCAGTCATGAAACAATACGTGTTGCATGTGTAACATGCAGTCATAAGGAAGAGCACATTTATGGTCATAAGTAAAATACCTATTTCTTTTACATGCTTCTATAAAACGCAACACATAGTCCCTGCGCATGCTGATTCTTTGGTATACACTGCCCATCCTCAGTAGTGCCATAAAATCCTTATGAAACAATTGTGAAGCAAACGAACAAACAAACCAAACCCCTGAAAAAACACATAGAACACGTGGAAGTAATGCCTGTCATTTCTATACAGACATAGGCAAGTGTTGACTGAAAATGCATACATGGTGATTTAAAGCCTTGAGGAAGTCGGGGATTTAGAACCCTACTGTTCCCTAGGCAAGAAAAATCCTGACAAAAATGACTATCAACTCCAAAGCCTACAGAATTTCTACATCATTTCCTCTGAAAAAGAAGGATCTGAATAATTTACAAATGCACCCTGGAGATTCACAGAAAGGAATATATTTTCTTATGGAGGTACAAAGTACTGGCTGACTGCCTCTGCATTCTGGTATGGAACGTGCTGGTGAGAAACTTGTTGGAAGACACGTCTTGAGAGAGGAGTAAAGAAGAGAGTCAGACTTCAGATGTGGCTGATTACAGAGCATGAAGTAGCCTCAGAAAAACTTGTGTTCCAGGGGCAACAACTTCTCTTTGCAAACATTCAGGCCTGTCTGAAGTGGGACGTGCTCCACCTGGAAGGACTAATCCCAGGGGAAACTGATACCTGTTTTAAATGGTTTATGAAAAATAATCTGAATAATGATGTGACAGCATTAATGAGAGAGATATGGAATGTTCACACTGATTCCTGTGAAATTCTTCAGGATATGGAGTGAAAGCAGAACAGTGTACCATCTTGAGCAGGCTCCTCAGGGCAGTGGTCACAGCACCAGACCCACTGAAGTTCAAAAATTATTTGAACAATGCTGTCAGAAACGGTTTAAATTTTGTGTGGTCCTGTGTTGTACTTGATTTATCCTTGTGCGTACCTTCCAATCTGTGATATTCTAGGATTCTGTGATCTTCTGCCAAATAATGGAGACTTTTATACTTGAATTAAAAAAAAAAAAAAGAATGGGGAGAAGGGAAACGACAGCAAAGAGAGTTTGTATGGTTCCTATGTGGTTAACTGACAGCACATACACCTCAGCAGATATCGAAGGATTTAGTGCATACTTAATCCCATGGACAGAAATTTTCTGCATGGTGTATTTCAGTCAATATAATTTTGCTTACTTCTTCCCTTACTTGCTGAATACAAACAGGATACAGTGAGATGGTGAGTAGGTCAGACATCCCACGCTGACCAGAGGAGGTATCATGAGGTATTAGAGACTGTCCTTTTACTTTATTGCTGCTCAGATTTTTCTGCCATAATAAAAATTGAAATTATACAAATGTAGCGTTGCAGTGAGTAACTGTGTAAATTCTCAGAGGTAACTGTCACCATTTATTCAATGCATATTGCTGTAGCTGTAACAGCTGCAGTCACTGTACGTCCATTAGCATGCAAAGCTGTAAACTGGCATCTAGACTGCTAAGTGGTATTTCCTGCGCACCTTCATCTTTTCAGCATCCCAGTAGTTACATAAAACTTGGAATGTGATCGTGTTATCTGAGAAAAAAAAAATCACACAGAAATATCACTCATATTATTGTGTTATTTTTGTTTGCAGCTGCCATGCACTGAGAGGAAGAAATGATTGGCTTTCAACGGTACTATGGCCAGGTAAGTACCAGAGAAAGATTTGACACCACAGTGAAAATTTACCCTACTCCATTAGACTGTTTTAATGAAATTAA